TCATTTGTAAACCCAGATTTCTTCTCCCTGTAAATAAGGGATATTAAAAGTAACATACAAGTTTGTAAAGTCCAAAGGCTTACCTTCCTTATATGGATTTGCAGAAAATCATTAATTCTATTAATTCCTTGGAACACAGAGCTTCATTCGTGGCTTTTTTATTCATCCACAGGAGGGAGGCATAATGCTAATTAATTTGACCCTGGGATAGAGCATTGTGTATTCTGAGAGAGCAGTGGGGAAAAACATATCAGAGCATGCACATCTCTTCTCAACTCTTAAGATATCATTGTAAGTTATACAGCAAACAGCTTTGCTCCTGCAGGCCCTCACTTAGTACCCATGGAACAAAGTGGGGATTCGGTGCAGGTTGTTGGCTCAGTTCATTTGACTCTGTTCTTGGTCAAAACTGAAATTGTTTGGGATATTCAGGAAGATTTATTCATATATTGAATTTTGGAACCATGATAAAATGTGTACCCCCGAAGTGTGAGATTTGGACCTTCAAAACTAAATTTTACACTCCAGACTTTTTTCATACTGAAAAATGTGTTTTAATTTTAGCATCAGATCAAAATACCACAGGCTGACTGGTGAAGCAAGCTTGGTACCCACTCCACGTCTTCTGGTTTAAGGATGCTGGTAGGGTCTCATAGCCCCCGGAGACTGCTTCCTTTATTCTCAGACTAACATATTCCTCAACTTTAATACCTTTGAAATTGGAGTATGCTTAATAATTAATGGCGTGACATAATTTCTTATTGGTAGTCTTTTATTTCTTAGAGGTACACAATGATGGGAAAGAAAGAGAAACAACATTGGTTTCTTGCTTATCATGTATTGAGCACTGAGATAAGCAATTTATATATGTTAATTTTTTCAAAAGATTTTATTTATCAATTTGAGAGAGAGACAGAGTGAGTGCATGCGGGAGAGTGAGCACAAGGAGGGGGAAGGGCAGAGGGAGCAAGAGAAGCAGCCTCCCCACGGTGCAGGGAGCCCCATGCAGGGTTTGATCCCAGGACCCTGGGATCATGACCTAGCAGAAGGCAGACGCTTAGCCGACTGAGCTACCCAGGCACCCCTATACATACTACTCTGTAGAATCCTCACATGAACCTTGTGAAGGAGGTATTTTTAGTTTTGTGGAAGACAGGGTTTATGAGACTTGCCCAAGATCACAAGTTGGCATGTGTCAGAGTCAAGATTTGAATACAAATCTAGATGACTTTATAATATGAGCCTTTGGATTCTCCATCTGACTTACCCTCAGCTGGTTTTGTTCATAAAAGAGTTTGTAAACCTTTAAATTCTGGTGTGAGGAAGGGCCTTATGAGTCATAGGGTCCAACTTCATCTTGTGATAGATGATGAAATTGAGGCTGAGAGAAGTGACCTGGCTACATCAGTCACAAAGGAAGCTGTGCCACTGACCGTCGGCATGGCTGAGCCAGGGAAGCAAGATGCCAGGCTCTTGCAATGTCTTCATCCCTTTCACATGTTGCCCATCCTCAGGCCTCCCCATTGGGGTTGCCATCCCTGGACCTCAGTTGCTCAGTCTCCTCTGGGCCCTGACACTTTCTCATTCATCCTCATTGACATGCTCCCCCAGACTCTATGCCCCTTCTCCCCTCTCCTTCCTTATCCTTAGTGAAGCAGATCCTTGTGACATCCTCTAAGGTGATAATGAATCCATATGAAGATGAAAATAGAACAAAATGAGAGAAACATAAGATTCTCCAGGGCCTGAGCTTGGAGCCATCACCCAAATCTTTGTTTGCTATCCCTCTTGAGCCACTGCACTCTGCACTGTGACCATTCAGAAGTCTTAACACAGTGTTCCAGGCAGCACCTTCCAACATTTGTTTGTAGAGATGAAACCAACTTATTTACCATCCCCAGTGCTGTCGAAGGCTTTGGAGGGGGGCAGATTGCAAAATAACTGAACCTCTATTTCTTCCAGTGGAAAAAGGAGAAAAAAAAAACACGTTGATATATGGAAGTGTAATAAGATTGAGAGATAACATATGGAAGAACACAGCAGATTCCACAGAGCCTCATACATAGTAGGTGCTTAGTGACTGTAAATTGTCATTCTTACAAGGTTAGTGCTGATGGGGGGTAGGTATGATACACAGCTCTGCATTATAAGGAAATTGGAGATTGTAAAAGAAAGATACGCTTGGCTTCTTTTTATTGTCTTTATCTTGTGACATTACAGACACAAGTATTTATGTTTCAGGTCTGATGTAAAAGGGCTGAAGAGTTCTCTTCAGAAACACAATTCATGATGGCAGCTCACCACCAACTGGCAAACTTTCAGCAAATTAATAAGATCACACCAGGTAAGTAGCCTGTTCCACAGTACCCAGGTCTGGTTATGCTACTCACAGGCTGAAGGACTGGAGAAAGTCCTTTATTCCAAGCCCTGTCCAATTTTCTATAAAGCACACATCATAATCTGAACCTAGAGGTAGGTATGTTGATGGTATAGTATTAGATTTACTGAGGATTGTTAACATGTTTTGAAAAAATCAAGCCCTAAATGAGTAGCATGTATTTTAAGAACACTTTTATTTGCAGGAAACAAATGTTTTAAGTTCTTTATGTAGTATTATTTGTGTAATGTGCATATTAAATGTCTTTGACTCTGTCATTATTTGCTGTGAAATGTAAACTCCTAAGGGCAGGGATGATGTCCGCTTCATTTATTTTTTAGAGCACCCAGAATAATGCCATGACCAATGAGGTTTTTAATCCATTTGTATGCTACTGTTGTAGATTGGAATACAAACTGTGCCCCATGCTCATAAAGAATACTATTGCATTCTTAGTTAGACTTTCCAGAACCAGAAAGCTAATGAAACATTTCTGTTAGAATAACATTGAATATCATGCCATGCAGCACAAATGTATACTTATTGGTTTATTTTAATTCTTAAAGTGTCAATATTAATTGATTTTCTGTTATAAAAACCTGTCCAGTGTAGGAAGTGTGAAAAATGCTGAAAGCCATATAGAAGAAATATAAAGTCCTCTTTAATTCTCATGCCAGAAGATAATCTCTTTGAACATCTTGGATTTTTTTCTAGAAGACTCATTTTAAGGTGCTATTAATATTAGTTAATCCTTAACTAATTTTAAGACTTTCAAAAGGTTTCTTCTTACTGTGAATTCCATCCTTTCAGTTTGTGATCCTGTGTCTTTCCAGGAAGAATTATTGTTTTGTTATTTTCAATGTATTGAAACAGTTGTGAGTTAAGGGAAAGAGTTTGCTGTGAGCTGCTAGCTACTGACTTCTGTTCCGAAGGAAAGTTGTGATTACCATAAAGGGAAATTAATCCATCTTGCCCCACTGCATTTGTTCCCCCCGAGAACCAGGTGAACTACTTTTGACTGTTTCCCTAGGATTATGTCACCCACCAAGGTAACTTTCTGTTTCAGTAGGTGATGTTAAGAAACAAAACAACACCCTTTAAGTTAATCAGTTTTGGAAAATAGAGACTGGCTTTATATCCCAAAGCTTTGATGTGTTTAGTGGTTCCTGTAAGGATCTGCCTCTCTTTTGTTTTGATTGACAAGACCCTTCCTATATATTTGAGCAGTGAAGCAGCCCAGTAACAGAGGGTAGAGACACTTACCCAGAGCAAACTTCTATCACTCATTGTGATTTTCTGAAATCTTGGGTGCAAGTGTGAGCTCTAGAAGGAGTTAGCTCCAGCAAAATCAGGTAAGTGCTTCTCCATATTTGTAACTGCATTCCACCAGAAGGGAAGTCCAAAGAGCTCTGCTAATGTGACAGATCAGAAGTAGATCAATAGAAGTAGATGAGACCGAGAGCTCAGATTGGAAAATAAATAATTTCGCAGCAATCATGAATTATTTTAGGCAATAATGAATTGAGGACATTCCATAAATGCAGTGTCTACTCTCACTTTAACAACCAGGTATGTTCTGTCCAGTGGGCCCAGCATGCAGAGAATGATTCTGGCTCCAGGAAAAGCACAGAAAATGACCGCGACCCAGAGAGGATAGACTTGACAGTAGATTGGGATTATGTTTTAAACACCTCTAATGCTTTCCAATATGTGGATTCAAATTGAATCACAACTAGGTGCCTATTACAGTGGACACCTAGAGCAGAGGCAATTTGTAGCTAATAGGATACATTTTTTATGAATGCTACCAAGTCAGGTGCCAGGATTCATAATATCTTATGCATATCCATGTTTTGTGGTAGGCTAGATTAGCAACAATGCATCTGGGCGTACAGTTTTTATTTCCCTATGCCCCTCCCATTCCCCATTCATGACACTGAAAATGTCATTTTGAGTAGGCAGGTAACATGGCACCAAATACTCTACCTAGATCTGAACAAAAATAATTTTGTGTATTCATATATTATGTTAGGATATGCATTACTTTTGGTGTGACTCATGTTTTGCATTTATTTTGAAGAGACCATTGGACCAAACCTCTCTAACACATGAGTCAAGTCCACAGTTGGGTAGAAATAAGGAAACACCTGAGGATGCCCTGGAAGGGTTAGCTGTTTAGCGAGCACAATGGGTCCATGGAAACCATGCTGGAGTCAGAGGAAATTTTGGGCACCTGTGCTGGTGTTTGTAGGTATTTACATTTTCTTGGCTCATCAGTTCTTCTGAGATGCTAAGAGCAAGGTGCCTTTGACAGTGACCATCATATTATTGATCACCCCCTGGGGGAAAGCTGGCTCTCTTTTTAATTTTTTTTTAAGATTTATTTATTCATTTTAGAGAGTGTGTGAGAGTGAGCATGAGTGGGAGGGGCAAAGGAAGAGAGAATCTCAAGCATACTCTGTGCTGAGCATGGAGCCCCACTGTGGCCCCATCTCACAACCCTGAGATCATGACCTGAGCTGAAACCAAGAGTCAGTCACTTAACCGACTGAGCCACGCACGTGCCCCAGGACTCTGGCTCTTTTAATAAACTCACTTTTCTTTCCCTTTCTGGAGGAACACCATGAAGCTGGCATACCTTTTCCTTGGCCCCATGGTCCTCTTCCTCCTGGCTGGCTGCAACTGTGTCCTCAGCACCTCCAGTGGGAACCTGCTCACCTTTGTGGGCTGTGCTGTGAGGGAGTTTACTTTTGTGGCCAAAAAACCGGGCTGCAGGGGCCTTCGGATCACTACTGATGCCTGCTGGGGCCGCTGTGAAACCTGGGAGGTGAGTCTCAAGACAGCTGCAAGTGACAAAGCCTTCAGAGCCAGCCACCTGGGTTGATTTCTGTGTTCACTTTTTAACTAAAATGAGGTAGAATGGGGCATTCTTGTGGAGTTTTTAAAATGACAATTATTTGGCATTCTCCAAAAATAATCTGGAATAAGTATGATCTTGCCCCTCTAACAAAGCATTGGTAAAATTAATATTTGTATTTACATAGTGTCTGTATATTTGGGAATCATCTTTGGGAGGTTAAAATATGCTATTATTCTCCCCATTTTACAGGTGATATGAAGGACTTCAAGGAGTGAGTGACCACAAAGTTATGTAGACAATCAGTAGAAAGCTGGGAATAAATCCTTGGTTGGAGCATGTAAACAAAATTTCTCTATATTCCTCTCCATGTCATGTAGCCAGCCAATTCACAAGAGATCGACCTTACACTGTCTAGTAGGTGAGGGTGGGTCCTCAGTTCTTCCCACAGTGGCTCATGCATAGCCTTGCCCTGCCCCAGGCCCCACCTGCAATTTGTGGGGACCTCAGGGATTGTCACAGACCTATTCACTAAGTCCTTTGTAGTCAATGATATCTAGCCTTTTAAGAGACATTGCATTTAAAATGAGGATGAAAGTCTTAGACAAAGTTAGAACCGTCTTTGGGCTGAGATGAGATGTTTGTAAGGTTAGAAGATAAAAGTCTCATTTAGCAAAGAGTGTCCCATTACACTGTAGAATGACTGTTGACCCTTTCTCCTGAGGCCAGAGTTGGTTACTAATGAAGCTCCAGCTCTGATTTTGTCACCCCACCCCAGCTCAAAAACCTTTAATGACCCCCCCCCCCACCATGGCAAATTCCAAAGCTAACTTCCAAGGTCCTCAGCCGTATGAAGTTTGCCTGGTTTCCCAATGTCTACCCATGTCCTGAGCTCTGGTCTCACCAGACTGACTTTGAAAAGTTTTATTAAACATCCTTCATGAAATCTCACTTTTGGCCTTTTTCTCATATCCCTTCTCATTTCCATCTGTCATTATTAAATATATTCTTTGGTATTTGTGTCCAGAACCAACTCCTTCCCTAGAGCTTTTCTGACTCCCTGGTCAGCCCTGACTCTAGTTTACCTTTTGTCTTACTTTTCACCACCACACAACACTAGATTCTAAGTTCTTTAGGAGAGGAGTTTCATTCCTGTGCTTTTGTTAGCTCTTGTTGAAGTGTCATGTACAAGCAAGATGTTCAATAGATATTTGTTAATTATATGGGCCTGTCCTCTATCTGGAGTCATACGTCTTTTAGCTGAATTGATGCCAACTTAAAAGTCCATGAGCACCATGAGAGGTGCTCAGAAAAATGGCCATCTATTCAGGGACTCAGAGAGCAACTTACTATCACTTAGATAAAATTATGGCCCCATGAATGGATTGAGTTATGGTGATGAAATCTCCAAATTAAATAAAACTACTTTACCTAATTTGCTGGGTTTTTCACTCATCCAGGGGCATAAGACCTAATAGCCAAATAATTCAACTGTTACGGATACCATAGCTGTGACTTGACATCGAATCTACTTGGGGTATTTTGGCATCGCCTCATATTCAGGGCGTGACCTGGCCATGCCTACCTCTACTCAAAGTTCATTTCTCAGCTCTTTGGAACTCTTTCTGGGCCCAAATTTCAAACCATGTTTCCTTCAATTCAGCTCACTTTCTCTTCTCTTTAAAGATTGATGAATGTCTTTAATTGGATCCTGGTCATCCCCGGGAGGTCAGGGACTATGTTCTTACCGGAGAAATTGAAGCACCAAGGCCATTAGGGAATAAAATTCTACTTAATATTAACCAGCTTTTATCTATGCCTTTACTGTACTATATATACAGGGAGGTTACTTATAGAAAATAAATAAAAGAATGAAATTTATTTTCCCAGTAATCTGAGAGTTTCTGAAGTATAAAGTCCTTATTTTTGGGAACTTGAGAGCATGTCTAAAATGAGGATGTCTTTGACAACAAAGTAGCTGGATTTACTTCAAAGGTGGAACCATTGCTGAAAATAGCCTTTACTCATGGCCTGGCTTTAGGGTTGCCAGATTTATTAAAAAAAAAAAAAAAAAAAAAACAACCCAAAAACCTACCCCAATCCAAACCATGAGGTCAGTTGAATATGAACGAGAGATAAACAACAATTGTTTTTTTGGTGTAAGCCTGCCCCATGCAATATTTGGGACATACTTTACTCTAAAAAAAGTTGTTGTTTCTTATGATATTCAAATACTACTAAGTGTCTTAGATTTTATCTGGCAACTCTGCTTGAGATTCCAGATTACTAAGGGTAAGAGGACATGAAGCAAACTAAGGAGGGTCAAATGCTCCCTGAAAAGGAGGAGGAAGCAGTGATATTAAATTGAGCTCTTCCACACAGTCCTTATCAAAGGCAAAGTCATTACTTTCATGATGTTCATGTGAGAACGTCATCCTGGGCCTCCATTAAACATACTTTATGTACCCAATCCAAGTGAAGGCCTTGTTTTTTGAAAGCTTGTAAGTTGCTACTTTATTTAGTACTTCCTTACTCTTACAACTGCTCTGATAAGAACTATAGATGACATTTACCAAACACTTACTTGGTGCTGGGCATCGCACATTACATGTATCATCCTACGTTGTCTCTGCAACGATGCTGTGAGGTAGAGATTTTGTTTTACAGATGAGGAATCTGAGGCTTCCAAGAAGTTAAGCGGGCAAGTGGTACAACAGGGGCCCAAGGTTGAGGGTCTGACTCAGGATTTGTGATTTTTTTTTTAAGTCTTACAGGTTTTTTGTTGTTGTTGTTGTTTGTTTGTTTACACTTATCATGTCAAGAATTCAGAGGGAATGGGTTGCAGCAGTTCCAGCGCTTTTCCATTGGTTCTCACAAAGTGTGCTTCTCTGGGTGGAGCAGGCTGGCCCTTCAGCTGAAATCATCTTTCATCTTTGGCTTCTTCCTTTTTCTGATCATTTTCCTTCATATGCTTCAGGAAGCTATCTAGGCTCTTCCAGTGCTTAACATGCTCAGTATTAATTCTCTTAGCAAGAATCATTTTCCTTCATATGTTTCAGGAAGCCAACTAGGCTCTTCCAGTGCTTAACATGCTCAGTCATTAATTCTCTTAGCAAGAATCTTGCCCTTAGTCTGCTTGTTTATAACAACATCAGCAGCAATAGACTGGGTTAACACTATAAACTCTATCAGATTTGCCATGGTATCATTTGGAAGGGGGTACCTCCTTGATGAAAAGTGCCCATTCCTTTGATGCCCACAATATCACCCTTTCTTGTAGATTTGCCAGTATGTGACCAAGGGACAACTCTCTAAAACTCTATGTTTTCTAAAAGGCCTAGAGAATATATAGCAGGTGCCTCTCTTTTGTGTTGGTCATTTTGGCAAATTACTGGAAGATGGAGTTTCCACGACAGGGTTTGAGATTTTAACTACTACTTTGTGCTGATTTCCTGATCTCTATACTCTTTATAAAATTATCTTTGAATTCAAGATTTATAAAGGTGAAATCAGGAAGTGAATCCTTTGATTATTAGAACAGTGCACAGGGCATTCTGGAACCTGCCTTGCTCTGTTTTTGGTCATTGATTCAACAAAAAGTTACTGAGGACCTCCCGGGTGACAGGTACTACTCTAGGTAGTAGAAGCACAGCATGAGTAAAATGGGCAAAAATCCCTGTCCTAATGGCGTTTACTTTCTAGAGTGGGAGAAACACAACACAAAGAAAATATATAATGCATTGCATGATATTGACAGGTGCTATGGAGTAAAAAAAAGAAAGCAGGAAGAGGGTGGGGGAGTGGCCGGGGATGGAGGTGGTGTGCTGATTTTCAAGAAGATAGTCAGGATGGTCAGGAAAGGTTTCTGTGAGAGGGTGATGTTTGAACAAATTGTTGGACTGGTGAAGGAGTCATTCATAAGGGAGAAGAATGTTCTGACCACTGGCTTAACAGGGTGAGCATATTTGATTTTACTCTGAGTGAGATGGGAAATCACTGGTGCTTTGAGCAGAGAAGAGAGAGGATCTGACTTAATTTTAAAGTCACTTGGGGCTGCCGTGTCATAAGTAGACTGTAGGGGGTGATGGTAGAAGAGAGGCCAGTTAGAAGACTTTCGCAAAGATCAGTATTATTCATTTGCTAAATAGTTATTGAGGACTTGCTATGTGCCATAGGCTCTTTTGGGAGCCCAGGATATGGCACAGAGAGCAGGTGGATGTTTTCAGGAATTTGCTTTCTCCTGGGAGGAGAGAGATTTACAAGTAAACAAATGACTAATGAGTTAATTTCTGATAGTGATAAGTGGTACCAAGAACAAGAAACAAGATACGTTCTAACAGGCTCCATGTTTTCTTCCTGGGGGGATAGAAGCCCATTCTGGAACCCCCCTATATCGAAGCCCATCATCGAGTCTGTACCTACAATGAGACCAGACAAGTGACGGTCAAGCTGCCCAATTGTGCCCCCGGAGTGGACCCCTTCTACACTTACCCTGTGGCTGTCCGCTGTGACTGCGGAGCCTGCTCCACTGCCACCACGGAGTGCGAGACCATCTGAAGCTGGTGTGGCCCATGGAACACAGCTGGCGGCCTTGAGCTTCACAGACCCACCTGCACAGGCAGCAGCTATACCCCTGGATTCGAGGACTGTCTAATTTTGACCACCCCTGTGGAAGAGGTTACCTGTATCCCTTAGGTCCAACTCAAGCACAAGGCCCAGAGGCGGCATACTGATGCTAACCATCAAAATAATATCTGTGTTTTCACTGAAATAATTTCTCTGGGTCACAGATTTGCAAATTAATTTATCTTTACCTTGAATCTCAGAACATAATTTGAATATATCACAATCCTCCTCCAATTTGGATTTATAATATGCCAATGGTTTAAATGCAATAGGAGTAATTAGGAAATGAGTCTAGAAAGTCTTTAAATTCTCCTTACTTCACAATTGGTCTTCAACTAGATTTATGATAGAAGGACCAGAAATTAATAAAACCAATGCTTTGTCCTCATGCCCCCAAAGAAAATTGCAAGCTTCCTAAGAGAAAACACTTCCTTCTCATTTTAACTGAGCACTTACCTACACAAGAAATAGAGACTGCTCAAATTAAGAAGGGAGGGCAATTGTAGCTGAAATTGAGCAATGCCTGGTTCTGGGTGATTCTTTCCCCACGTAAAATTCTCGAGGTCCTTCTTAATAAAGAGGCTTGTCTGTGATTTTAAAAAAAAAAGAACAAACTCAGAAAAAATATGTAACTAAAGCCATCATTTAGGTTTAAAGACGTGTGCAACTAAACTCTGGTTTTAGACTCATGTGATGCTCTCCCAAAGCTATGCCCAAAATGATTAATCCCAAATATTCTTTTCCATTTAGTGTATTTTAAATTTAAGTTGTAATTTTTTTAACTTGGAAATTTTACATGTTTGTCGGGGTAAAGCTGCCCTGATGGGTCAGGGGAAAGTCTGTGATGGTCTAGCTCTTGTGCTCTCTAAAATTTTTACAGCAGCTGATTCTCTGTGACTTTTTTTTTTTTAACTCTGGCATTATGCAAGTATCTTTAATTCCAACGTTTTGGGGTTGAAATGAACCTTGTTTCTTTTTTCATGATATGCCAAGAAAATCTGTATTAATAAAGCATGTCCTCTGTCTTTTGAATTCATGAGAACTTTCAAAAAAGTCTCTCTAGTCTTTAATGTACTTGGAATAACAATAGCAAGCACACTCGAAATTAACTTCAAAGTTACTTTTACTTACACATTAATTTAGGATGTCATGTTTAGGAAGAGATCCAGACAAATGACTGGAGATCTTGAGTCCCAGAAGTAGCTCAGTCTGGACTCAGATGCTTGGCATTTCCCAGCTGGGAGCCAAGAGCCCTCCTTGAATGAGGAATTGATATGTCCTCATGAAAATAGTAGTGAATGAGTGAATGTTGAGATTGATGGTCAATTACTGGGACGTTGAGGTGGACATCCGGGAACAAAGAACATGAGCAAAATCCATCCCAGTCTTTAGTGCAGATCCATTGGCAGGCAAGAAGCCACTCCAACATAAAAGTAGTTGAGTGCCTGGGATCTGTCCCGGACAGTGGCTGGTGATAAGGGATAACATTGAGTGGCACCTCTCAAGTGTTTTCAGCCCATCCCTAAGGACTTCCCTCAGACTTTTCTGCTAGAAAGGGCTGCTTCTTAAGGAAACTTAGGGAAGAAAAACAGAAGCAGTTAAGGTTTTGCTGCAATTTGAGAGAAGGTGACTACAGCATCAGTAAGGGGCCCAGTGGGAAACAAGTGAGACACTGCAGCAGGATATTGAGGACAGTTAAAGGAAGATGCTATTTATAAATGTGTGGGAAGAGTTAAGGAAACCAACCAGGGGTGTTAAAACATTCTGAATACTGGTTTAGAAGCAATGAATATCCCTAGGCTGAAGGAGAAGAAGAGGAATTGATTATCAGACCCCAGAGAGAGTGGAAGGAGGAATGCCTGATGGGAGCTGCGATCTTTCTTAGGATGACCCAGCTGTCCCAAATCAAGGCCTGGTGGTGAGGGAGGCGTGGGAGAAAGTACCCCGATCTCACTCTGCTCCATGCCCTGACTTCTGCAGAATTAAATGGGAAGGCAGAGAGCAAGGGAGCCCATTGCTTCAGTCCATAAATGTTGGCCTCCTGGGAAGCAGGTTGAGTAAGAGCGGAGAGTGGATCTAAGGGGACAAATGGATGAAATCCAGGACAGCTATATTCTGGGATGTTTAGCTGAAATGCCATAGGCAGTGATGTTGGCGTGAAAGCCATAAGGCATCCGTAGCATCACAATTACTAAGAGTTCCCTGGGATGGGATACATATGGAGAGGTATGTACTGGCTAATCAATATCTCTAACATTGGAGAGATGCGGTAACAACGGTAATTGTCAGAACTGTGGGATTATTTGGCTGTTGAATACATCAGTCGAAGCACTCCGAGCACAGTATGAAAGCCACAACTGAAGACGGCCTCTGCTCCTGGAGCTGGAGGGCACACTGTGCTGAACACCAGGCCTCAGACCTAAGTGGAGAGCAGCTGAATTATGAAGAAGGCTGAATCCACTATCCCAGAAATCTCCATCCTTAAGTCAAGGTCCTCCTAGGAGGGAGTGGGACAGGGAGGCCTGGAATGGGGACACTTAGTGGGTGAGCTTGAGGTTCCCTTGTAGAAGGGGTCCTCTCCTTGCTAGAGATCAGCCTCCCCTTCCTGAGACCAGGCCGAGGCTACATCCAAGGAGGATGCCTCACACGGTAATACTTGCCCTCTTCAAATACTGCCCACAACCTCTCATGGATAATTACGGTCAAGTCTAAGGATGACCCCACTGGGGAAGGACTTTCTGTGTGATGGGAGAATAAGATTTTCCACTGAAGCTGCCCGAGGCCTTGATGAACGTGACCAGGGATGGGTTAGACCACGTGAGAATGGATCTGGAGGGTGTCGGGCTGTCTTCTCAAGGGGTGAAGGGGAGAGTGGGAGAATAGAAGGCTGGATATGAGTTTTAAAATGGAGACGCTCTCCCCTGAGTCAGGATTTGACATCCTTACTAGGGCACCTGGATCTGGTCCCACTGAGATGTTGGGATGGCTCTTTAAAGCTGTGGGGAGAACAGTGGCTTATATTAATGGAGAGAAGATGCCAGAGCTTTCCTGGAAGGATATTTGAGGATAAATGGCTCAGGCACATGCATCTCTGGAATGGATTTATTTCATACGACCTGAGAATTCACCAGCTGGCTCTGGTCACCTAGAGGGTCACCGGATACTCGTTTCACAGAATGCCAAGGAATGCACTAGTGGGGGGACCCTGCCTCACGGAGAAGCTCCCTAGTGCTTGTCCTTTGTAGACTGGGGTTGATGGCAAGAGAAACCACCAGGGAACTGGGCTTCTTGGTGTCAGCAGAGATGAGAGGGTCTGCAGTAGCAGAGCACAGGTGATGACTTGTAGCTGTAAGCAGCAGGTGAATATGATGGCTGTAATGGGTGGTAAAGCTGCAACAGCAATCAGAAGACTGATCTGCAAGCTCTACAGGGCTGGCTAATATTCCTTTTTTTTAAGATTTATTTATTTATGATAGAGAGAGAGAGAGAGAGAGAGAGAGAGAGAGAGAGAGAGGCAGAGACACAGGAGGAGGGAGAAGCAGGCTCCATGCCGGGAGCCCGAAGTGGGACTCGATCCTGGGACTCCAGATCGCGCCCTGGGCCAAAGGCAGGTGCTAAACCGCTGAGCCACCCAGGGATCCACACTGGCTAATATTCCATGATGCTCCCAGGCTATACTATGAAAGAAACTACAGTATATATATATTCAAAAAAAGTTATTAATTAAAAAGAGTGAAATACCTCTCTCCGTGCTAACCTTGAATCTTTTTCAAAGTTCTTTCTTCCCTCTTCCTTTTTCTCTTTCCCCTTCTTTCCCCTCCATCCCTCACTTCCACACATATTTATTAATCCTAATTTTGTGCAAGGTACTGTGTTTGGGAAATAAAGATATAAATATTGCTGCCATTTATGGATGTTTTAACTCTAAGCAGGATCCTTTCTATTATTTCTTCATTATTCTTGTGCCAACCACGCTCCTAGGCACTGTAATTGCTATTTTACCATTACCATTATATAGATGATGAAAGTAAAGCTCGGAGAAATCAAGTAACTTGCCCAGCATCTGACAGCTGGTAGGCAGCATGTGCCAGGTTTCTCTGACCCAGAACCAAACTCTTTCCATTGGAGCATGACACCTTTTTGGAGTGTTCCTTCCCGGTCATTACTGCTTGGGGAAGTCTTTGAAGTTCTTGAGGTTAGACCATCCTCACCTGCAGGAGGCTTGGTGCAAACTTGGGTAGTTCTATGGAGATTGCAATTTTTTTTTCCTACTTTCCTGTATAACCTTTGGGAAGATAATGCTTTGCTGTACCTTGGATCAAAGCTTGCAGCAGGAGAGACTGAGGGAGAAAAGGAATGGAGCCTCAAAGGGAAATTCAAAGACACCTGCTGTGGAAATGAGGGTTGCGTGTTCTCAACAGATTGCCCAGCAGTGTGAGCACTGGGGCAGGGGAATGGTGGTCCAGTGCTTTGAGGCAAGCTCTAGATAAATTCGGAAAAACTCCTTAGTCCCAGAAATGTGTCTATTTTGCAATTAATGAAAGGTATGGAGAAGGGGAGTTTCCTGAATTTTTTTTTCTGTGGGAGCATTTTTGAATGAAACATATAAATTCTCACAGCTCATGGTACTTCTAGGTTTATTAGATCCATTGATTGAAATGGTAATTCATGCTTCCCTTCTTTCATTGATTAGGAAATGAAAGAGCCACCAGGAGAGTACCAAATTTTGCTGCAGTGACCCAATTCACTCTTCAAATTATTTGGGGTTTAAATGTAATAACATGCATTTCTGGGATAATAAGTGAGTTGTATATCTAATGGAAAATAATGCAGCATTGATTACAATTTTTATTTCATAAAGTTTCCCAGAGGACTGCTCGTCTTCTTCCTCCAGGAGATGTTTTCTATAAAATAGTGTGTACCTTATCTTTTTTAGTTCTCTTCAAAACATTAAAGCAAATTATTAAGAAGTAACTTT